GACACACAAAGGCGCACCACTTACTTGTGCGGTGTGACTTACAAAGACACTTGCTCCTGCAACGAAGCAATGAGTTTACAGACAGTGCACACATACAAACTCTGATGTCTGTGTATCTTATGTGCGCTTGTATGCTCACGTAAATGTTGCATGATATATATTAGGGTGTCCATTATTTCCAGTGTTAAATTTTTTTTTTTTTTGCTGACGCCCCCTTGAGTTTTCAGTTTTTGCCATAAAACTATGATTCAACTAAATGATCTTTTTTCATATATATTTTTGATATTTTGCATTAAACAAAAACATTTTACAAAAACTTAGAACTTTGAATAAATGATATTTTGATACAAAATTTTTCGCTCTACAAAAAAGATCTTAAGGATTTTTTCTATAAAAACATTCCTTTAAAAGTTATACCCCAAAAAGTGTTGCTTGTTAATTCTGTTTGCTCACACGATATGAGCAATACAGTACATTTAATGCATAACTTTATATGCGTATAAGTAATTTTTATGGAAAAAATCAATAAGACCTTTTTGGTAGAACAGAAAATTTTGTATTAGCATATGCCTTCTGCAAAGTTGCAGTTTCATTTATTTTGGAAATATTAAATTTATTGCAACCGATCAAAAAGTCCCATAATAAATATATGTGAAAAGTGAAATGAATTAGGCACGACTTAAATTCGGGTTATTTATGTTGGTTAATTTTTTTGTAGCAAAAACTGAAACTTCCTTGTGAAAAAACGAACACCCTAATATATGTATAAACATTTGAACATGTGTATATATATATGAGCATGTGTGGGTAATTTAATTAAACTGCTGCCTATTATATTACATGTGACTAAGTAAGTGTATTCTACGCCAATATATGTACATTCAGTTGTCTACGCACGCTTAGTAATGACTGTTTCTGGGTATGTGCTCATTTGACAAAGAGTTGTAATGTCAGCACACACACCTGTCTATACGTTTGTATGCATGCGTGTACGCTTAAAATTGAGCTGATTGTGTCTCGCCTAAAGTTATACCACATATAATCAACGTACAACAGCTTCATTACACTGTGGCCGCGTGGTTAGAGGCAAATACGCACACATGCGTACATACATAAATAAATACGATTATATATATGAATATGTGCATGCGTAAGGTATTCTCCTATGTGCTACTTGTGTGTACTAGTGCTTAAAACGCTTGCAACTGACATGTTAATCAGCTTTGCAGGGAACAAGGCTTTATAAAAGAACTTGGATGTAAATTGGCAAGATGTTAGCAAATCAATAGTAAATGGTCGGCTGTGTACACCAGGTGTTTTAAGACCTATTCTTAAGTGTATTTTTTAGCCAGCAATGTTGGCATTTAGATAAAAAAAAGCTGTACAAAAACTTGTTTAAGTAATTTTGGGAGCTCCTTAAAATTAACCACCATTTTTCTATAATACAGAAGTTCTTGATAAATTATCTGCTGTAAAATTATGGCACATAAATTTCTACCTTTAACACAAAGAACCAGACTTTTCATTGTCCTGGTTTTGAGGACCTGTTTAGATAACTAACAACGAAAGTCGACAGTAAACTTATTTTAAGAAAAGTTTGTCATCTATCTGAAAATAAAAAACTTGAGCCAAACATCATGAAAAAAATCCGAAAAAAGATCGAATTTACGATTTTAAGAACCTTTTGCATTGTGATTTTTATTTTTTTTTACGTAACCTTATGTAAGCACACCTGTGAATAAATCTCGAATTTATTTGTAAAAATATTTTTTCTCTTCACTCGAACTAGAGAAATGATCTCTTAGAATAATACTAAGTAATAATGATAGCTAATCCAAAAAGTTTGAAAAATCTGCATAATTTGCTTAGGGTAACATAACCTTACAATTTTTCAAGTGAAATTCATCGAGTTTGGATCAACTCCACGACCTAAGCTCAAACTTTCGAAAATTTTCTATATTATATTTCGTTTTTAAATGTCAATTCTTTCTCCAGAACCTAAAACTCAATTAAAATAACAAAAAAAAATTGTATTGTAGTAATTTGATATAATAAAATAATTAGAACTCTCGACGATTCTTTACATAACGTAGCTATCGTCCGGCCCATCCTTGAACTAACAACCCTCTTCGAAAAGACTAAAAACCTATGCTGTTTCTGCAAAGACTAGAAATTAAAAAAAACCCTCAAATTGTATTCCTGACATGCAAAGCTCCCGGTAAGTCGTAACTCTTACTCAATCGAAGGCGCTCTTATAACATCCATAAAGGGGTATTCTAGTCTAGAAGAGGGGTATTCTACATCTCGAGCTTTTTTTTGTAATGAATAAAATAAAAGAAATTGATATTTATAGCTTTCATTTTTTTATCATTTTGCTATTCATATTGCAAAAGCACAGAAAATAAATTTCAAAAAGCAAATTTCCAAATAGAATACATCCTTAAAGAAAATTCACTTTATTTCTTCAGTCAGGTAAAATACTCAAATATAGGAAACTTAGCAAACATCAGCTTTCCTAAAGCCTAGTAATTATCAATCTAACGATGTTCAAGAAATGTCTTTACGGATAGTCGTTGGCAAATGTAATACAAATGTCTTCTAACCACATTAAAAATGTTAGCTTGCATTCACCTTTGTTATCGCCTTGCTTTTTGTTGTTACTACTATTACCTTCTACATCAGTCGCTAGTGTTGATATTAGCAAACTTGTTGGCATTTCAACTAAATAGGCATTTCGACTATTTGTCGCCGCTGAGGTTACTTGACTCTGTTTGGTTTGATGGCGCAATGTCGCTTGTTATAACCTATCTAGTATGTACCTATATATCCACACGTTCTTTTAAGGACAATAACAACCAATCGAAGAGACAAATTCCTGTTAGCATAGACGCTATTGGCATCAAACAAACACGGGAAATTGATTAGATAAAGGTAGCGTAAGCGAAGTATACAAATGCTGACAGATACATACACATATACAATATATATATATATATATATATATGGTAAACAAATGTAGAAAGTGTGGGTGAAGTATAGAAGATTAGAGTAAATGTTAACACCAGCTTAGCTTCAAACTAACTAGGTGCTCGTGCATGTATATACATGTTATAGAGTACCTTATAGTTCATATATAAAATAATGTATAGTAGTCTAGTACGACCGTCATGTAAGCACTGTTTCGACTGCCAAAGAGCTAAACATTGCACAAAAGACCATTTGGAATCATTTAAATAAGACAAGATACAAAACGACCCTCGATGTATTTTGTGTACTTTTGTAGCACAAGTTATCGCTAAAAACCTCATTTAACAAATTTTCAACTCTGTAGCAAATGGGTACTGGTGATAAAAAGTGGATCACTTCACTTCAATAAGAGAGGAATCGTGTTTCATCAGGACCACGCCAGGCTACACGCATTGATAGTGCGCCTTTATAAGTTCCGCGACCTTGGTTGGAAGCTTCTTATGAATTTACTTTATAGTCCGGACCTGGAACCAAGTGATTACTAAATGTTTCCGTCTGTGCCGAATGGCATACTTCATACATATTTTACTTCAAAAGTAATGGATTTTTTACTAGACCTTATATAAAACAGAGTGCTATTAAAAGCTAGCTAGGAAAAATTTAAACATTTTAATAATGCGAATTAAATTTGGCTTTTATAACCAATATAAGCCTTTTCTGATCTCCTGTTCTTTTACGTTCTTCCTACTTAGGAATTTGCTTCTATAAATATTCTTGGTGTACCCTTCATTTCTGGAACAACAAAAAAATCTACAATACTAATACGAAAGATCTCTTATTCATTCTACAAAAAAATTCGAGCCTATTTGTGCTTAAATTATTTTATACTAAAGCTTATTGAAAGCTCGCACTTGGAACACTTGTCAAATACACCAATTCCATCCATCCATCCATCTGCTCTTGAAAAAAGCGCTATGAAAGCTCGCACTTCTTTAAGCATTATAAATAAAACAATAAATATTTTTTATGTCAAATATCATACTTAATTTACTTAAACTTTTTTATCTTTAAACAACAAATATTTTAACTAAAGCTCACATCGTTACTTTTGCGCATAGAATGAAGCCCTTAAACAAGAATCTTGTATTGATAGAAAGACTTTGTGTGCTGTGAACTGTTTGACACGTCCTGCACACGCAAGAACACTCATATTAGCAATTAGAACAAATATATAAATATATTTATATATATATAATATATATGTAGACACATAAGCATAATTTTCACACAAGTCGAACACGAGCTATGCAATGGCGGTAATATTTAAGAGAACAATCAGGATTTAATAATTGACCTATTGAACGCAATTGCCCAGGGAAAGAATGTGCATATGTAGATATGTATGGGTGAATAATATACACAGGCAAGCTTTAGTTGAATGTGAAGTTAGAAATGAGTGCGGTTGCGGCAGGCGTAGTTTTAAATTCGACATTCGAGCTGAGAGCTTTCATAGATAGGTAGATACATACATATATAGATTTATGTATGTAGACATATAGATGTACATATATACCTACATAGATCCGAATACCTATGTACATATGTATATGTATGGTATGTAAAATCAAATGTAGCTACGAGCGTGTTAATCATGCATTCATTGTAGGTCAGTCGCATTAATCAATTGGTGTGATTGCCGAACAATAGGCAGCGCTACCGGATAATGGAAAGCCAAAAAATGCTGAGGTGATTTAGGCAAATGTTTGCATTGAATATATCTACTATGTACTTATGTACAAAATCACAGTGCTTTTATTCAAAAATATAATACCTCTATACCAATGTGTATATTATTTTAGCGGTCAGCTCGCCATGGTCAGCCAAAAGGTTTTGAAATTGTTACATATCTACTAATTTCTATATACACATTAATATGTATTTTTATAGATTTAATACTTATATGTAATAAACACATTCTATACACTCTTATTCCTCTGATTAAACATTTCTGTTTTGATTTTCTCCATTTTTAGGGCTACAAAGTCTATTACACAACAAATCCCAATCAACCCGAGGCGTCTTGGGACTCACAAATGGTGGACAATAGCGAACTGACAACCATTTCGGAATTGACGCCGCATGCCATTTATACAGTGCGTGTGCAGGCATATACCTCAATGGGCGCCGGTCCGATGTCCACACCGGTGCAAGTGAAGACACAGCAAGGTGAGTGTGTGTGGAAAATTAAAAAAAAAAATTTGAAAATTTTTTATTTTACCGAGCGAGCAATTAAATAACAACACATAAAAAAACAAGAAAAGATTAGTTTCAGAAAAAATAAAAAATAAATGAATATTGAAAATATGAGAAATAGAAAAATAGAAAAATAGAAGAAGTATTCACAAAACTTCATTCCTTTCGAACAATATAGTATAATAAGTGTTTGAAAATTACAGTACTTTTAATGTTCTAAAATAAATGTTTACTTAATTTTGAAAATATAAAATATTTAACTTTTTCAAAATTGCTCTAAAACTGAAAAAAAAGAGTATATTACGATATATATTACAAAACGTTATTGCATACATATATCAACGGTGTATCATTAAAAAAACTGATTTCAACTCTCAAATTGTTTTTGTTAAAATTCTCTTTCGAACATTTTAAAATTTTGTAAGAAATATGCTTTCATAAAATTATATTCCTTTAAAAAATATTCAAGTACTATACGCTTAATTTTTTTTAATTTTGTTGGACGAAGTTGGAATTTAGAATATATATTTTGAATATAATACCAAAAATAATTTAAAAAAAGTTTTAACGAAATTATTAAACAAAAATATTAAGTGGCAACACCATTTTAAATCTCTTGTACACATATTGAGGAATGTCGGAAATTGTTTTATTGGTATTACTTATTAATTTTGATTTTTCAATTGACAGCAGTACAATTTTGTAGACATATGTATATATGTATTTGTACATTATATAGTTAACTAAACATTCATTGATAAACGTGAAAACTATTTTGTACCAATTTTATAATATTTCTGAACTGCTGTGTTTCTAATATTACGTCAATTAGAATTCTGAAAATATATCGTGAAATTGTGAAATAAGAAAAATGTGGCAACCCTTTGATTTAATTTTGATAATATTAATAATGAAGCAACTTTGTAAGCGAAAATATTCTGAATCCTAAATTTTACAAATGTTGCAATCAAATGAAAAACTCTAATTAAAAATATTTTTGAGTCAAAAACTTTTTAATTTCAATGATTTATATATACAAAATATACTTAGATTTGTAGTAATACAGTGGCATAGTCACATTTTTTTATAAAGAGGTGACCATATTTAATATTAGTGGGGAAAAGTGAGCGGTGGGAGTGGTGAATTTTTTCTGTTGTATACGCTGTAACCACGCTATTATTTAACATATACTTATGTATTTTTGTCTCTATTTTTACATCCTTTGACAAAAATTATTTACAAATAATTTTCTAGCTTTGACAGCGCATGAAAACTTGAAAATTTATTAAAACGAGACTTTCTTTAAAAAAAAAAGTATGTATGTATATGCGTATATATAAGTTGTATATATCAACATCTGAAAAGCTCCACTACTTTTTTGTATTTTTTAAGGATGTTTATCTTAAGGAGATATGCCTACTTATAAGTGTAAAAGAATATGGTTTTGGTGAAAAATTTTGTTGTATATGTAAATATATCAAAGTCCTACTCATACATTTAGAGAATTCAATATTGAGTGCCCTTGCTTCTATAGACGATCTCCTGAAGATCCTTCGGAAAAAGAAGAAGTCAATGTTCTTTAAGACCCCATAATTTTTACGTATCATAAATAATTAAGGATTTATTCTGAAATTAAATAAATACAGTTAATAAACTAAAGAATAGGTTAGTTAGAATGTCGTTTTTTAACAAAATGGCGACTTCTTAAAAACATAGTTTTCTCGCCAAATAGTCCTTGAAAAAATGGAAGTTTTTGTCAAAAATCATATCGAAAGAGCATTACCTAAAAAAATTGTTTATACTTGTAGATTTGAAGAATATTGGTGCAACCGTTTCTGAGAAATAATTCTCATCGACGCTAAAAAAAGCTTTAAGAAAAAAGCTAGAAGAGACATTTAGATAAAAATTGATTACAAATCGTTCATATCTCCGAAAATATTAACCGAATCAGCGAATATTCTTTAATATCTGCACGAGCTTAAGCCAAAACTAAAATATCGAATTCATGGGTCAAACTAAACCTATATACGAGAAAAATACAATAAAAAAGTAAACAGAGTAAGAAATATCCGTGCAAGAAAAAGTTTTTAGAGTAATTTTAAAAGTTCTTGGTGAGCATTCCAAGTTTCCGTTATAAATAAGTGATAAAAAAACAAATTTGTTTTCATTAAAAATACCATAATTTTCGTACATTTATTGTTTCGAAAAGTGAGGAAATCAAAAAAGAATTTAAAGTATTGATATTTAACAAAAAAAAAAACATAGATTCAAATAAATCAAGATAGTGAAAAAATATCATTTATAACCTAGATTTGTCAAAAAAGTGTTATCACATTTCTGTTCTTCATTTTCTGCTCAATATTTAAAAAGTGAATATATAAAAATTATAACAATATTTTTGTGATAAAATCACTAATATTCAAGTTGTCTTTTCGTTGGTATAATTTTGATTTCATCAACTTTTGTTTTGTGTTTTTTCGTAATAAAAATAATTTTTTCACTTTTCAAAACTTGTAAATATAATAATATATATTATAAATGAAAAAACATCTCACGAAACTAGATTTTTCGGAACTTTATGCTCTGCAAGAATCTGCAATGAAAAAAATTTCTGGCTTAAGGTTCAAAAACAGAAAGCTGACCCTTTACGTATTATTTATAGCGAAAAATTTTCAAGTTCAACGATAGCACTTTTTGAAAATTCTAACAAGACGCATTAACGTCATATACTCGTAATATAATATAAGAAATGTATAGTCTTAAAAAAAAAATTAATATATTACAATTTTCCTATGACTTACTGAGTTCGCAATATACAATACTACAAAAAAAATTCACATTTATCAACTCAATTTGACTGCAATTTATTTAGAGTCATCCAACCGCTTACACCAAATCCAATTCCAGCCAATAAAATTATATTCATATTCCACACATGTGACGCGCTCAGCCAGCGTTGCATTTGCGCACGCACATCACTACGCAATGCATACATTTAGCTGAGCTGTATCAAATATAAAATTAAGCCGTGTGCGATGAGCCGCATGTCGGGGTTGATGTCATAAAGCGATAATGATGCTTTAATGTGTGTTTTGTAAATGCATGTAATATGATTTGACGATGCCGATGTATATGTGCATGTGTTTGTGTTTGTGTGTGTGATAAAATTTGGCTATGTGCGTGTGCGTTCGTGCGTGCAAGTTAATTGCATGCAATGCACGCAATTTAGTGTGAGTGCTTTTCGCATGCACGAACGCCTAAAAGTATGCATGCAGTTGGAAATATATGCGGCGACACACATACACAGCACACATATACGAGCTAACTTACAATGGTTTTAATGCAGGCTGATATGCACACACACACCTATATTATATACATAATTTTAAATGAAATGAAATGTGACACACACGCCAGCTAGCCTAGTTTGATGCTCCAGCATTGCCACATGACCCCTGTAGTGTTCTACAATTGCATTAAAATGCATAACATCAACAAGAATGTTGACAGCCAACGAGTTGTTGCTCTGGCTGTTGCGTGAAGTTGCGGCCGAGGTGTGTTGTTGCTATTGTTATTTTTGTTGGCTTTTAATGTTTTTGCTGTTATTATTATTTAAGTCACAGTTTAAAGTGATAAACAAGAGATTTTGTGTGTGTGTGTGTCACTTTTGGGGGGAGAAAGTAAAGAGCAAATGTGCCAACTGGTATGTGCGTGTGTGTTTGTTCTAGCATACTTTTAGGCAAATATGCAGGAATGCATACATAAATAATATCTGTTACATATGTATGTCTTTGTATACGCATGTGAGTATGCATATTATTTTCACACACACACATACCGCACGCTTTTCTATGTGTGCGTGTTGCGTGTTTTCGCTTTTATTACTACGACTATGCTGCTGCAACATTCAGCTACGTGACTTATAACAAATTTCCACACACTACTGGCACTTTCTTTGTCATTGCCGTTGTGGCATGCAACATTTGATGCCTTCTATAATATTTGCCGCCACACACACACACACATGTATATGTGTGTAGATACATATATGCTCAATTTCAAATTGCCACCCACAAGGCGTACCTAAGCAGTGACCAGTCAAGCTCTCGACACACCCGCCAGACAAATGCCACACACGTTATGTGTGTATATATACATATATATATTATATATATGTTGTGTTGTGTGTAATGCATGCATGTATTGTGCTAAAATGGCAAAATTGTATGGAAAACACGTGACACTATTAAGCAATTATGTGAGAACATTTTGTAAATTGTTAGGCAGACAAAAAGCTTTTAAAGCTTCATGGCATTTCGGGCTAAATCGTTGTAGACAACGCATTTTATATTACTAAACAAAGTAAATTTTCATGCACACGCACACTCATGCATATACTTTATACTATAGGCATGCATAGAAATATTTCATGCGCAAACTTAGCAAACTCTGTGTGTGTGTGTGTGCAACTTTTGGTTTGTGCAAAAATATTCACAAAATGCTCGCAAATATACAGAAAAACAAAAGATACTCACTTGTGTTGCTTTAAAGCTATATCACTGCTTGGCAAAGTACAAATTTTTGAGACTTATTGTCTGACCTTTTGTGTTAAGGCTTAAAAATATGTTAAATTCGGATTGCAGGTCAGGCTGTTGCCAAGTTTTGAGATACTAGACACTTGTTACATTTGGTCTGCGGCGACTATATTTCTTTGAAGATGAGTAACAAAACGATATGCTAGATATTATAATATATTTTTAGCACTTACTTGCATAATGCACGTGTGGTTTTCATTGACGCAATACTTTTTTCGGAGTTTTTTCTTTTTGACAGCTGTTACGGGATTTATACTCAGTTTGGTTTGCCATTTCATAATGAACAGACTCACTTCGGAACAAGCCGATGTCGATTTTCTCAAGAAAATTTCGTTCAGCGATGAGGCTCACTTTCGGTTGAATGGGTACGTTAATAAA